ATCTGTCCCTTATGGGTGGATGGATATATTCGGTGTAAACACCAAGAATAACCCACAAAAGTCGGAAGAATACTTGTTTCCAGTGAGGTCCTTCTGGTGGTGATTGGGCACTACACCGGCAGTGGGCTAACGATAGGCCCTTGGGCCCTGTGGCATCCTGAGACTGGGGCCCCTTTTTGATCCGGTCACCATTTTGATCTGTCTCTTATACACATCTGCTTCGCTAGGTTTCAGCTAAGGCAGGGGTAGCTAAGGCCTAGGCATGGCTTCTACTATTAAAATACTTTATTCTCGCTTGATGTCGCCAAATCTAGCAAAACTGCTATCATTTTTAATTGCTATAGGGCCTCGGGCTTGATAATAACACCCGCGAATGGACAAAATTTCTTATCTTCGATCGTTGCCAACACACACTCACTATTCTTGCAGCAGCAGTGCACTGAATGACGTCACGCATGTATCGGCGTTTCTTTTGGCTAATCATGACGTAATATCATTTACCGTACCTTTAGCAATCGGAAGTTCCGATACGGTACCGTATCTCTAGCCGCGGCGATTAAGATATGGTGAAAACCTAATTTTCAGCAAAATCTGCAAGGAAATCAGCCTTTATTTTCTGAAGTGCGCTGGCTGGATTTCTACACCAAATATTTGCGCGGAGATATTTCCCACGCAGGCCTTCTAGGCTAGGCTAAGGCCTAGCTCGCCGTAGGCCTGTCCTATACGCCTAGGCCCTACTACTAGAAGACACTAGCCTAGGCCCTCAGCTGAGCCTTAGGTCTACAGTAGGCTCAGGCAGTCAGTTTGTCTGGGTTATAACTTCTTTAAAACGTACTTTTTATAGTACAACTAATTTTCAAAATTTATATTGTAACATTAGAACCTGATCATAAATGATAAGTTGTGCACATATCATCTAGGCCTATTCCTAGACCCTATATAGGCCTAGGCCCCTAGACCTCGGCACGGTACCGTTACCAGCCCTGTTCATTCAACTAATGCGTGGGTATTGCCTGGCCTGGATGCCCTAGCTAGGCCTAGAAAAAGGCTGGCTAGACCCTAGGCCTTTTAAATAGGTTCTAATTCGTCATGTTCATGCTAAAAAAGAACAATTTATCCTACGTTTCTTAGGAGATAAGCATATATAAACTTACTTAGAGCACACAGAAGCAGGATTTCAATTCAGTATTTTATGGATATTTTAAAGTAATTCGACCAATCCAATTTTCAAAATTCGTAAATTTAGCGAGGCCGCGATCATCTACCGCCACCAACGGTAGACGATAGGGCGTTCCGAAAATGGAGAATGCGCTGCTTTATTTGAA